GGGACACGGTAGGGGTACCAGCTCCCTGCTCATTTTCTTGTATAAAATAAAGGTTGGGGGCACTGGGAGAGTGCTCTCTGCTTTTCCTCTCAACTCACTGAACTGATGTTTAGTCAAGAGCCCAGAGATGGAAAAGCACTGGGTTGGAGTCACACAGCAACCACAGTGTTAAATGGAGACCGAACTCTCCCCCCACCCCCCACCCCCGTCTCTGTTTCCTCTGCCTTCCCTGAGGTCCTATGTGAGTTCCTTTGGGGGGGGCATTGTTTGGGACACTCGGAGTAACCTTTATGTCTTGGAACCTTGGTTTCTTCATCTGGAAACGGGTGCACACCATGGCTGTCCAAGCTGTCACATGGGGTTGTTATCTGAAAGCCCAGAGCACTTGTTCTCAGTGGGGGTGGTATTATAAGCAGTATTATACACAAGCTGGTCAAAAGCTGGGTCCCCAAAGAGGTGGAAAGTCCTACCCTTTCTCATCATAAAGCCCAGTACATGTTCAGTACCTAAAAGATTCTACTTTTGCTATTGCAATTTTACGTGTGGGTACCAGGGAGAGAGAAGCTTGAGAAGACTGCAGAGGGTCAGTGCTCACCACCAGAGGCTGAGATGCTGGTCAGGCCTCGGCCATGGAGGCCTATATCTTCTGTGTGCTCAGCTCAGTGGGCTGGCTGGTGTCTGGCTTCCCAGGGAAACAACTTGGAGTAAAATGGGAGGTTAGCCAAGCGGCCTTTGAGAAGCTCCTGGATCAAACCCTGAGGGCAAGAGGCAAGGTGCTGGGTGGGTCCTGGAGATCATCAGTCTCAGAGATGGGTGAAGGTGCAGACCCTCCCAGCATCCATGTTCTACTGGGAGGCCAGGTGTCCTGGAAGGGGAGGTAAAGCTGTGGCCAGGTGCGTATGCACGTGTCGGTGTGTGTGTGTGTGTGTGTGTGTGTGTGTGTCTGTGTGTGTGTCTGTGTCTGTGTGTGTGTCTCTGTGTCTCTGTGTGTGTCTGTGTGAGTATGTGTGCATGTGCCTGTGTGTATGTGTGTGTGTATGTGTACATGTGTGTGTGTACATGCACTTATACCCTTCTGTGTGTTTCCCACATGTGAACACATATATCTTTGGAGGCCAGGCATCATGAGGGGTTCCCTGATACTTTGGAGATCTCATACCTTTTTTCGTAGGGATCCTAAGAGGTCTGGAGCAGGCTGGCTTTGCCAGCTGAGCCCATGGCTGTAGCGGGTCCCCTATGTGGGTTAGCTGAGTTAGTGGAGGAAGGATAATGGCCAAACCAGGACCCAACACTGCTGGGTGCCTGGCTCAACAGAGCTGGGAATAGAGATATTCAGGGAGAGACTTAGTAGGTCTGCAAGACTCAGCGATGGAGAAGGAGAATGGGCATGAGTCATGTCTGAACTGATAGGGTACCCCCAACATACAAACAATGACCCCTCAACACCTGACTGCATCTCACAGGAGGCCATGCTATGTCTATCATGAGGAGACAGCATGGATGAAGTGTAGAGGGGGCATCTCTGCCTCATGGCAAGCGCAGTAGAGCTTGTTAGCAGGGGCAGCACCCAGTGGTACTATAGAGTGGCCCTTAGGAACCAGGGTGAAGTATATGTCTTCTTGAGGTAACTGAGTAGGGTAGAAGACAGCTATCTGGAGCTGACCACTCCAGACTTGTCAGTTCCTATCCTGGCCCTATTCCCTGTCCTTGGAAAGGTGACCAATCCCAGGTGTCTGCCTTAGCTAAAGTTTGCACCCTGAACTGAGCTCTGAGTACTATCTGTATGTCTTCTGGCTGGTCCCAGGGCCCAGTGGCTCAGTGCCTCAGGAACTGTGAACTCAGTCCATACATACCTGGGCACCCATCCCTGTCCTCACTTGATAGTGATGGAACCTGAGGTTCAGACTCCACTCTGGTAAAATGGGGCCTCCATTGCCTGTGGCCTTCCAGGCACAATGCCTCCCACAGGACTCAGAGTGACAGTGGGATGCACCATCACAGAGCTCATAGGACATCTATCTGGTGGTGTTGATGTGCTATTAGGGACACCTGTTCAGGTGGCGAAGGTGTGTTCTGTCACAGAATGAGCTGGAGCCAGGCCTAGGTTTGGGGGAGAGACTTGATGGCAAATAGGGAGCGTGGGAAGAGATTTCCTAGGAAAACCTCCAGAAAGAGTGGATGTCTCTTGAGTGATTAGCAGGGTGTGTGTGGGGGTGAGTTTTAAGTAGAGAAACACAGCAAGGAACTGTGGAGATGGTTGCCCCCTGACTGGAAGAGCCACTTTGGCAGAGTAGGGCCAGGGCATGTCCTGCTTGCTCCTTGGCCAGGGTTCAGAATTAGAGACTTATAGTTGAGTGAAGGCTGAGCTCTGTCCTTTTGCATTTCTGGGAAGAAGTAGGAAGTGTGAATAGGATGGCCTAGACTACTCTGCTTTTGACGAACCTGCTCCTGTGATTACCTGTGTCCTCTGTCCTGCACCTGCACACATCCCCACTTGCTGTGCTCCTGGGGTATACTTGTGGGAGGATCTGTGTAAATGCGTGCACACATTTGCCAGGGTGGTCTCTTATCCCATGTCCCTGTGTGTTCCCATGTACCAGGGAGATCTTCATACTGTCCTTTTCTTACTTGTAAATCAACAGGTTTTTTCTAAGTGCCACATATACCAGGCTCTGTGAGTGCAGGAGATGTGGAGATGCAGTGTGAGCATTGGGAGTTGTCTGTCTGTCTGTGTCTGTGTCTGTGTCTGTGTCTGTCTGTCTCTGTCTGTCTGTCTCTGTCTGTCTGTCTGTCTCTGTCTGTCTGTCTGTCTCTCTCTCTGTCTCTCTGTCTCTCTGTCTCTGTCTCTGTCTCTCTCTCTTGCTCTCTCTCTCTCTCACACACAGACATATAGTGCAGTGACCTTCCTTCTTAGCAAGAGACACTCAGCCATTGCCAGAGGAGCCAAGATAACAAACAGGCAGAAGTGTCACCAAGGACCTCCTTCAGGGCTGTCTGTGTAGTTGACTGGTGGATGAACCTGGAAGAATCCTCTGGGGTGGGCTACACCAATGCAGGCAAACAGGCAGCAACTATGGTCTGAGGGAACAGGCAAGAGCAGTTGGATTGGGTCTTAAATAGGCATGTGCAGTCCTGACCAAGCATATCTCGTCCTCCACCACCCCCAGGCTGTCACCATTTACAAACCCGAGTATTTCACATTTTAGAAAGCTACAGAAGTGATAGGCTCATCCCCCGCCCCCTCCATATCCTCATCAATCCCCACTGGAGCTGTGTAGCCACTGCCTTTTCAACCCTGCTATGGTCTGATCCTGCCGGCCTCCCAACCTTAAAACTCCTGGAAAGGAAGGCCCAAATTGGAAGACAGAAGTCACAGATTATCTTGGTTAAAGGGACTGTGGATGCAGCCATCAAGTTGCTTATCTAGTATGGCATTCTAGGAAAAGGCTCCGTGACCTGTCTGCTTATGTTACTCTGGTGACAGGATGCTTGCTCAGTACACACAAGATAGTAGCATTAAGTACAGACTAAGGAGCATTTAAAAAAGCAATTGTCGCCAGGTGGTGGTGGGACACACCTTTAATTCCAGTACTTGGGAGGCAGAGGCAGGCAGATCTTTGTGAATTCAAGGCCTGGTCTACAGATTGAGTTCCAGGATAACCAGAGCTGTTATACAGAGAAACTCTGTCTCCAAAAATTAAAAATAAATAAACAATAAACAAAACAACAACAAAAATAATTGTGAGGGCTGGAGAGATGGCTCAGTGATTAGGAGCATTTGCTGCCCTTACAGAGGACCCTGGTTTGGTTCCCATCATGCACATGGTAGCTCACAATGATCTTTAACTTCTAGGGATCCATTGCCTCTCCTGGCCTCTGTGGGTACTAGGCATACATGTGGTGCACACACTATAATGTAGACAAAACACCCACACACATATGGCAACAATAAGTCATTTAATGAATTGTAGAAATCAAGCACTTAGGAGTTGGAGGCAGAAGGATCAGCTGCATGGCAAATTCAAGGCCATCCAGGGCTACATGGAACTCTGTCTCAAAATAAATTGCAGTAAATGCATGCAGTTTGCTATTTTAACACCTCTCCCTCCCTCCCTTCTCCCCTTCCTCTCCCTCCCCACCCCCTCTCTCTGAGTGTGTGTGTGTGTGTGTGTGTGTTGGTGTTCTCTTGTTACTTTCTGTCTTATTTTTTGGAGACCAGGGCTCTCCCTGAACTTGGAGCTCACTTCTGGCTAGACTGCCTGGCCAGCAAGCTTTCAGGATCTTTCTGTCTTTGTCTCTTCAGTACCAGGATCACAGCACACCTGGAGTTTATGTGGACACTGGGGATTGGAACTCAGATCCTCATGCTTGTGCATCAGGCACTTTGCCATTTGAGCAGTCTTCCCAGCTTCATTTCAACCATTTTTAAATGTACAAATGTGCAGTTGCACAACTCTCCATTTGCAAAACATTTTTATCTTCTTACACAGAAACCCTACACCATTCAGCCATAGCCCTTGCCCCTTCCCAACAGTCCTGGGTAACCTTTGACCTACTTTCTGGCTATAAATTTGACTACTATATTTATTTCCCATTGTTGGATTAGAAGAGTCTTTGCTCTTTGGTTTCTGGCTTATGTCACTTGTCATGATTTTGGGGTTCGTTCACATCATGTAAACTATGCTTCACAATGTTCCTCCAGTCATCTGTGGATGAGCAAATGAACCGTATTTGCCATGTGCCTGTTGTGAATATCGCCGGTATCAATATTTCATACAAGTATTTAAATCTGTTTTCTGGTCCTTTTAGGTGTACTTGCAGGAGTATCATTAATTGCCTGGGTGTATAGTAGTCCCATCTTTAATGGTGGGGGGCATGCCACCATACTTTCCATAGTGGCTATAGTCTGTCTTTTGTGCTGTCTTAGAACATGGGAGTCCTAAGAAGCCTTGGCATTTCAGAGCTTTTGAATTTTAACCTCCTCTCCTCTTCTTCCACAGAGTCACCACAAGAAAGGCCGGGCTCCCGGCGCAGCCTTCCCGGCAGCCTGTCAGAGAAAAGCCCCAGCATGGAGCCCTCGGCTGCAACCCCGTTCCGGGTCACGGTAACTATCTCTGCGTCACCACGGCCACTGCCACCACCATCACCACCTCGCCCTGTGGGGCTGCTCTGCGACCCCGCATTCCCCTTCCTGGAGCCTCATGGACCGGGAGAGCCTCCAGCCTCCCTTGCTCTAGGTATCCAATCCCCTGGCGGCTCCCTGTTCTCTGGGGGCCACATGGGGTCCCATTCTTTGAGGGAGGGGGCAGGTGGAGGACAGAGCCTAGGAGGCCACCAGGGCTGGGAGAACAGGCTGGACTGGATTAGAGCCCTTGACATATGCATATGCAGCCCTTCACCCTTAAGATACAAAGCTGTGCTTTGGTATCTTCCATAGAAGAGTCCAGGACATGTCATAATTTGATTATGTCTTGAAAGGAAAGACAAGAATTCTGTATTCTCCAACGGATAATGCCTTAAAATTGATCCCCACACAGCATGTGTACTGTAGTTGTTCAGTTTAGATAGCCAGCATGCATACTTTCTTCTTTTTTGCACACCTAAATGAGGGCTGGAGAGATGGCTCAGTCAGTAAAATGCTTTCCTTGAAAACGTAAGAACCTGAGTTCAATTCCTAGATCCTATGTTAAAAAAAAATTTCCAGGTGCCATGTAATCACAGAGATGGGATACAGGAAGGTCCCTGGGGATCACTTGCTGGACAGCCTAGCCTACTTGGTGAGTTTCATTTCAGTGACTACCTCAAAAAAGGTGTACAGTACTCTGAGGAATTTTTCTGTGGCCTCTACACAAGTGCACACTCTTATGTGTATGTACCAGCATGCACACATATGGATACATGGAGAAATATATATATATATATATATATATATATATATATAGTCCAGAAATGATTTCACAGAAGTGGACCTCAGTCACATTTAATGTCTCTCACTCTCATGCATTTTTTTCTCCCTCCCTCCCTCCCTCCATTGTTTTCCTGAGACAGGATCTTATTGTGTTGCCCTTGCTGGCCTGGAGCGCATAGGGATCCACCTGCCTCTGCCTCCTTAGTGCTGGGGTTAAAGGTGTGTGCCACTGTGCCCAGCTCCATGTGTTCTTATTCTCTGTATTCTTACTCAAACACACATTTTCACAGAGCCCCTTAACACAGCGGGCATAATTGTACATGCTTCTCTCCAGTGCCGTGGCAGGCACCTGGCACCGGGGGAAGAACACACACTATTTTCCCCAGAGATTTCCAATCTGGGCCAGAGATAAAGGTGTGAACCTTTGATCATCCATCCATTCATTCGTTGAGCAAGTTTTCCTGTGTGCTTGCTCAATGCCAGGTACCATTCTAGGGACAGGCCAAGTGGTAAGAGTGTCAAAGCCAATGCACGGTGGGCAGAGCCCTCTTGTTGCCAAGAGCTGCTATGAGGAGAAAACCATAAGAGAGCTTCTCGGGTGTGGTCTCAAGGGGATGTTTCTTGTGCCTCTACTCTTTGAGTGCTAGCATTACAGGTGTATACTGCCACACTTGGCCTTTGAGGTGACGTTTGAGGTAGATGATAAAAGATGAGGTGCCAGATAGTCTGTGGCAGACAGGCAGATAGACAGGGAACCAGGTGAAGGAGAGAGAGAGGAAAAGAACACAGGTCTGTATGTCTTGTGACTCAGGGGCTCCAGAGGAGCCTACTGTGGCTGTTCTAGAGGGTGGGAGAGGTGTCTTAGGCCCAGAAGGGTCAATGGAAATTGGCTAGGTGGTGGCCATTGGCAGTGGTGGTGGTTCAGAGTCAGGGCCAGCCTCTGTCGGGGAACAAGAGTCCATGCTGAGGCTAGGGTCACAACAATGGTTTCTGAGGGCTCCATTGAAGCAGGAACTAGATGTTTCTCCCCCTACACCCTTGGCCCTCTGCCCACCCCCAGATAGGAGGGCCACAGTGGACAGGGTGAACCTTTGGAGACCTTGGGACAATGATTGGTATTGCTACCTGTTCCCATTCACATACGAAGAACCTGAGGTTCAGAATCTGTGTCACATAGCCCCTGAGTTACAGGCAGGCACTTTAGGGCTCTTGGCCATGTCAGATTTTTGTCCTTAGGCACTTTGGTCCGTTGTCTCTGTGTAGCCTTTAAGGACAGGTCTTAGTGGAGACTCTCTTGGCCTGGATGCCTGGAACTGGTGGAACTGAGTGCCTGAGTGCTTGGGTATGGAGATCTGGGTTCAAATCCTAGCACTTCCCTGAGCTATGATGTGACCTGGTTAGCCAACCAGCCTCTCAGAACCTCACCCAGTAAAGTGTGGATGACAACCCCTGCCCTGTGGCAGGTACTTAGCTGGTGAGATGTGCTCTGACCAGTCATACCCATTCATTAGACCCGCTGTCCCAGCTGAGCTTCTCTTTCTGGCTCTAGGTTAGTGCAGGGCTGGGAAGGACTAGGCTAGAGGACAGAAGTCATGGGCCTCCTCACTGCCATTCCTGAGCACTTACTCTTTCCCACATTTGGATCCTGAGTTTGCAGCTTGCTGCTGCTGCCCCCCAGGGGAGCCTGGGGAACATGGTTTTGCCTGGGGGAGGCAGGGGAGATACCACAGGCTGTAATGAACCTGCCACTGTTGCTGACATTGCAAAGCCTGGTGACAGGATGTCACCATCTCTCATAGAAGGTGCCCTTTGGGAGAGGACTGTATCTGACAGAGGTCCCTCCCAGGCCTCAATCTCAGCCCTTCTGTGAGAGGCTGTCCTTATTACAGGGCATGGGTAGCTCCGTGCTAGCCCCATTGCAGCCTGTTTTTTTTTTTTTTTTTTTTTTTTTTTTTTTTTTTTCCTGCTGTGAAATGAAGTTGATGGCACTTGTGGTTGGGCACTTGTGATGGGGCTTTAAGGGCTTTGTGATTTGGGCGAGATGGAGGTCCTTCTAACTCAGGTGCAGTTTCTGGTGTCAGGTGGCAGTGAGCATGGACTGTGGTTCTTCAAGGAGATTGCTGTGTGTCTCATCTGTGTGGTATAGAGCCTGTGGGGGAGGGGCTGAGAGTAGGTGACCACAGTGGCCTCCTGGTCCTCTCCTATAGGTCTGGGTTTCACACCCAGCACTGTCTTTTCTGACACAGGTGATTGGGAAGTGGGAGACCGAGTAGGAGGCGGAGCCCTGGATCTGCAAGCATGTTGTGCCCACCCCTCTTGGGCCACAGTCCCCTAGTGTGTTCCCAGGTTGATGGGCGACAAGGAAGTGCTGACAGCCATGGTTCCCTGGAAGGAGTGTTCCCAGGAATCAGGTTGATGGGCGACAAGGAAGTGCTGACAGCCATGGTTCCCTGGAAGGCCCTTCAACCTTTGCCATCCCTAGGTGTGTGCTGAGTCCTTCCTCCTTCCTCCTTCCTCCTTCCTCTGTCCCGTAGGCTGTTGACCTCGAGGAGTTGAGCTGGGTCAGGGTGGGAGGTGGCAGAGGCTCTGGGGAACTTGACAGCCCAGTGACAGTTGGTCTGTCCTGGGGAAATGGAGAGTAGAGATGTTGGCTGCAGGTAGGTCTCAAGGCTATTTTTTTGTCAGATAGAGAAGAAATGTCAGAGGGAAGACTCAGGGGGCTGCAGAAGCTGCAGATGAACTCAGCACTGTGCTGATTGCAGATGCTTCTAGAAGTAGATCTTCGTTCTTTTCTGTGATTCACTTTTACTAGTGCTGGGTTGCACATAAACTGTGTATTTCTGAGTCAGTGACAGGTATGGGGGGACAGCGCATGGGAACCCAGAATTTGCCTCTGGCTGAGGCAAATAGGAGAATTCTTACATGGGGATCTTTAAAACTGGAGAGCTCTCTGGCTGAGGCAAATAGGAGAATTCTTACATGGGGATCTTTAAAACTGGGTTTTAAGGGACATGTAGGTGTTTTTCAAGAAAAGAGATAATAGTTTGGTTAGAGGAAGATCTAACCAAACAAGAACAAATCAGTGGTCCTGTTTGCTGTGTTGGAAGCATGAAGGCAAAAGTGAGTCAAGAAATGTTGGGGCCTCTAGTGGGGGCTCTGAAGCCTTTGTACTTTCTCCTATAGGATGTAGGAGCTACAAGGGGTGATGACTAAGGGTGGAGGCCTCTGGGGTACCCACTTGATGTTTCCAACTGCTCAGCCCTCTCTCCATTCCTGCGTGACTTCCCCATGTGTGAACCATCTTTCTCTCAATAACAGACATGTAGAGGGTGGGTGGCTCGGCTGGAGAGTCTGTCATTCTGCAGGATGCCCTTTCCTAGAGATGGAATGTTCCAGGTAGATTTCAGTCAGAGCACCAGAAGCAGGAGCTGTTCAGGTTGGGTCAGAGCTGGGGAACAGGGAGCCCAGGTCCATGAGGTGGATGGGACTGTTGGGATTTGGGCTCACCCTGAGAGCCAGCAGTTCCATCAGTAGACAGAGACCAGGCCAGATGGGGGAATTAGAATGGGTAAAGGGACACGCCAACTGCTATTGTCACATGGCCCTTGATCCCCTGAGCTTAGATGTCCTTGTGGGGGTCTGCTTGCTCAGTCCCAGGAAGGACTAGCCCAGCCTGGTCAGCTTGGAGAGGGAAGAGGACAAGGACAGCTCCCCACCCCTTCTTTTCAGCTCTAAAATCTTCTAGAGTGTCCCTCAGTCTCTGCCAGGCCCTCTCTGGTAACCACAAGGTATGAATGACTGGTTCCTGTCACAGACTCCTTACGTGTTTCTCACTCAGGGTGCCATGTTGGGTTCAGTGACTGGCAGGCAGAGTGTCATGGAGACATTTCCTTTCTTCACATGTGCTCTGGGTATATAGTGCTGACTTCTCCCTACAGACCACCTGGAGGGAGCGAATTCAAATCTTGGCCGCTGCTCTTCTCTGTGGACAAATTGCTCATCTCCAGACCTCTTTCCTCATCTGTAAACAGGGCAGCTGTGAGGGCCTGCAACCAAGTAGGTAGGCATTCAGCCAGTGTCCACCCCCTGCTGCTTGTTGTTTCGGGATGCACCCTTTCCACACTCTCCCCAGAGCCCCAAGTACCTGGCCTATCTCTCTCCTTCACACTGTCCCTCGCTGTCCCAAAGCAGAATCACCCCTGGCAGCTCCCAGGCCCACCTGGGATCAGGAGGTGGAGAGAGGTGAAGGCCAGAATGCTTGGGGAACCAGAACTAGTGCTCTAAGGAGGCAGATCTGGCTAGAGCTGGCCAGTCTAGTCTGCAGGGCATTTTTCCCACCAATTGGGGGCAGCAGAGGGCAGCCAGTGGACATCTGGGTGGCTACTTTGAGCGAGAGCTGAGGTCCTAGTTGTATCCCTAGCCACAAG